AATATATGTATGAGTGTCTTGTTGGTAGAAGTGGCAAGGCCAAATGGAGGAACTGAGAGGCCAGAATATGGCTAAAATTTAAGTTACAACTTCAAAAATACATAGATGAGTGTCTTGTTGGTAGAAGTGACAAGGCCAAAGTGGAGGAACTGAGGGACCATAAAGCCTGGGTAGCTGAAGAAAAACTATGTAAAGAGCAAGGTGGAAGCTAGATTAGAAATAGTAAAAAGCTAAGGGAGCATCCTTTTCCTGAAAACACAGCTACTAGGGAAATGCAGGAATAAATGCAAAGCCCAGCAAACACAGAGTCAGATATTGGAAGAAATTCCAGGTGCATGTTGTCATTTGAACCCTAATGAATATAATTTGTTTTCTGAAATCCTGCCACTGTACAGATGTGTGTCTTTTGGAAGTGGAACATTATTATGTCAATCATTACAATTTCTTATTTGACTGTACTGTTACAACTCAATAGCTCAAACCAAGGACCTTCTCCACCTTTAAGAAAATAACGTTGTTATAAATCCCCTCCAAAACAACTTGAGGATTGGGACATTTGCAAGTAGGGACAGGGTGTTGTGTTTCTTGCTACCTTTGTATTAACAAATATTTCAGAGCTGTTTTTCTTTTATTTCTTTTCAGTGGTCAAATGTGAAAACCCGAGAGTTAAAAATGGGTACAAAGTATCTGGATTTGGGCCTTCCTATACTTACAAGGACTCAGTCCAGTTTGCATGTGATCCAGGCTATTACATGGTTGGAGAAGATATAATTTCCTGTGCAGAAGATAACACCTGGTCTCCTCCAATACCAACCTGTGAGAAAAGTAAGTCTGTAAAATTCCAGTTTGTCTTGGGTGTTGAGAGTGTTGTAAGTCTTGTCTTAGCTAAAATTTCAAATCATAACACTGTAGTTGTAAGTCAGAAGCTGAGGAAGTTGATGGGGAGCCATCTGTGGGCAACATTTTAGGTGTTTGAGGGGCTCTTAACTCCAAAGAGTTTTTGGCTGAGAGTGAATTCAGTGATAGACGTGGTAGAACTTGTGACATGGACATGCTGTGATTGATTGTGGTGTTTGTTCTGGTGATTTTGTGAGTAAATAGAGGAGAAAAATACATGAAATACAGGAGAAAATATGTGTTTCTAAATTCTGATAGAGAGAACTAGGAGTGTGCACAATAAAGAAACCTGTAAGATCCTGGAGTAATCCAAATCTCTATGTTTGATGTAGCTCTTCATTTCTGACTTTCCAGGCATCTTGTGGATGTTTAGCAAATTGTTAGATTTTTGACCAGACAAATTCCTAAGTCAGGACTATTTTGCAGGGCTGGGGACATGGCAGAGGTGTTCCTGAACCTTTCTGCTCCCTCTTTGTGCTAGAGGGGAAGGGGACATGGTTGTACAGTACAGCAAGAGAATTTTTTACATGCATAGTTTAATAATGAGCTCACAAGAGTGAGAAGTACTTTGGAGAGTGTGTTTGAGTGCTCTGTAATGAATGAGTCTGATAAGGCACCTGGAAATGATTCTAGAGCTTACAAAAATAATCAACCAATATGGATTTCAGAGCTACCACATCATAAGATTGTATTACCTTAATGAATACCTACAGTGATGTTTCTTTAAGTCTTTTAAAGGAAATATTTATACTTAAAATTGCAGTCAAGTTAAACTCCTCAGATATGCTGAGCTGTTTTTCTCACGCAAAGGCAAGGTGTATTTGTGGAGTGAGTTAATGGGTTATGAAATATTTCAAGGTTATTATCACTAAAATTGTTTTTAAATTCATGTATTAATTCCTGCAGATGTATGTGAAGCTCCAAAGGTCACAAATGGAGCCGTGGTTCCACTGAAATCTGTCTATAATGAAGGAGAGTCTGTTCAGATAAAGTGCAATGCTCGCTGCTCTTTTCCTGATGGCAGTAAAGAGGTGACAGTGACTTGTCAGGGACAGAAGACATGGAGTTATTTTCCAAAGTGTACATGTGAGTAAAACTCATACTTGGTAAAATCAGTGACAAGTTTTAAATATCCGCTGCAGTTACGGCTTTTCTTTTTTTTTCCCTGTTTTCTTTCCAGGTGGGCCTGAAAGTCCTGGTTCCACTCCAGGAACAAGTCCTGGTTCCTCTCCAGGCATAAGTCCTGGTTCTATTCCAGGCATAAGTTCTGGTTCCACTCCAGTCATAAATTTTGGTAGAGTAGTTGCGGGACAAAAGCCTTCCTATGTTGTGGGGGATTGTATTACGATTGAATGCTACGCAGGGTACACGTTACATGGTGAAGCTGAAATTCGGTATATGGGAGGAAACCAGTGGTCTCCTAAAGTGCCAACCTGCCAGCTGAGTAAGTATGAACTGTAAGGACTTCCACTAGAATGAAAACACCTGTGAGAGAAGCTTTGCTGCTTGAGAATGTCCTTTTATATTCGGGAGAAATGATTGAACGCGACCTCCTTCTTTATTTTGGCATGAAAAAAATAGAGCTTGCTAAAATCAATTACAAACATAAATATTTTAAGTTAAGTAGATGTTGTGATGTAAACTGGCCTGCTTCAAAGATTGTGTTGACAGCATGCTTGATCTGCTTGGAGTAGCTTTGCGAATGTTTTTATAATAATGTTTGAATAAGAAGCACACGTGTTCCTCTTGTGATACTGATTCCCTCTGTTTTTAGGTGGATATGTCATAGCCTGCATCTGTGGTAAGTATTTTCTGAAACCTGAACGAGACACAATGTTGATTGTATTTTTTTTTATGTGGAAATTTTATTTTTGATCCCAGTCACTGCAGTAGAATGATTTTGGAGTTTTGGTTGAGGCTGCATAATTCAAGAAAAGATTGCTTAGCAATTATAGTTTAATTTAGTGTAAATGTGTATTTTTTCATGTTTGTGAGGTCAGATTTACTTGATCACTTTGATAAACTTCAAAGCTTATATTTACTGGAAGTGTTGAGTAAATTACTCTGCCAGTGAACAAAAGTGTTTAGTCCATCTTCTGTCATTGAGTTTGTTACCCAGTTTTGTATAAACTTGTAAAAAGTTGTGTTAGGGGGTTGTCATCATTCCTGCTTTGTCTTTCTTGTTTTAATGTTACTGAACTGGTGGGGTTTTACCATCTTGGTGGTCATTGTTCTTGAGCTGAATTAAGAGTCTTGAGTAAAGCATCAAATACTTCATTTAATAAATAAGTTGGGTTGTGGATTTATTTGAGGGGGTAGGGGTGCTGTAGACCTATGGATGAAAACAATGCTATTTCTGCAAAACTTTTTGATGCTTTTGTTGTGAGCTAGAGATGATCTTTATCACCCTAAAGCTTTTTTTTAATTATTATTATTTTTTTTAATTCTTCCTGAAGTGCTTGTGGTGATTGTGGTGCTCCTGGCAGCCTTCTGGGCCTATAAGAAATTCTTTTCACAGAATGGGTGAGTAAGCTTCCTTTTTTATTACTGTTATTATTGCAAATTTCCAGATGACTGAGCAAAAGCTGTGCTGACATGTGTGAGTTTCTTGAGCTTTATCTGCCCTTTCTTGTTCAAATGCCTGATTTGTGTGTGAGCTTCTCACAGCAGCTGATGGAAGCTAAAGCCTAACAATATATTTGACTTTGTTTTTGTATCTGTTGTTCAGCTAAGCTGCTAATTAACACTTGCACTGATTTCAGGGATGGAAAAACCTTGTTCTTAAGTTTGTGTTTTGCATATTTACACTTGCCAAGGGAAGTACTTTTGTTATCTGCTAAAAACATGTCAAGTTTACCTTTTAAAACCAGGGCTAGTATTGGTTGTGTGGGCTTGTGCTACTGGAAGGTTTTCAGGTTTTTTTTTCTCCTGCAGCAGCAGTGTTGGTGTCCCTGTGTTAAAGACTTGCAAAATGAACTGTAAATAGTAGATTCATACATAAGTAAGTGTTCTTCTGTTTTTAATGAGACATAAGGGGTGTTTTGAACTTTTATCTTCAAAACAGCTGGGGTTTATGTGTGCTTTTTCATGGAGGGGTGGCAGGAGATTTAAATGCCTCTTTGTGCATTACTTCTTGCTGTAATGCCTGATTTTTGTCTTCTTGAAAGAAGCCTCTGTTGGAGAAATAGTTTGTAACATGCAAAACACTGAAAATTCAGAGCAAGTTAGGTGGTTCACATGGATTATTAGGATAAGCATCTCATAAAAACTGAGTAATCTTTTAACAAAATCTCTTGGAATTTATCTGGAGCACATGAAGACAAGACAGGGATGCTTTAAATAAAGTAAACCAGAGGAAATATTCCTGTGGTTCATATTTGTAGTGAAGTACACACAGAGTACGTGGGAGAACCCTGAGGGCAGTTTATGTGCAGTGAGGTTTTAGCCTCAGTACCTCCTACATGGGCAGCACAGGATCATTCCAGGGGCCAGGGTGACAGAGTGCCCGTGTGCTGCTGAGGAATTTAAGGCTTTTGAGCCATTCCTTCTCATCCATGACTTGGATATCCTGCAGTCTGGGCCAAAGAAGAGTCCGTGGGAGCTCAGAGCATCAGGGCAGCACTGTCTGTGTTCATCCGTGGAGAGACTTCTCAGGGTGTAGAAAGCAGGAGGGACCTAAAGCAACGTCATAAAAAATTAAAGAATGTTATGTTTCTGAATATTTTGCAGCGATTTTAAAGCCTTATTGTGCTTAGTGCTTTCCTTTATCCTTCTCTCTGTGAACATCTGACTGTTAAACCTCTTCCTTGGCTGGAAACCCTGATCTAATCTCCTTTTATTAAGGCCTCTGTCTCCCTATTTAGTTTTCCGAGTTCCTGACGTAGCTGAGCCTTTGTGAACTGTTGTGCTTCCACCCCCTTCTTGCTGCTTTGTGGTCTTCAAATGGCAGCAAATCTTTCCTTGCCCTCTCTCATATGTGTTTAATCTGCCAGTTTTATGGGATATTCAGTTAGAATTGAAATTTTTCCCCTTCTGCTGTTCAGCTCGTACACAACTGATGAGAGTTGCAAGGAAACATGTGTTCTAAAATCTAAGGCCCCAGCTGAGATGGAAGACACTGAATACATGAATTAATTTAATCTTTAAAAGGTATACACTTTCCACTTCATTTGGACTTTTGCAGTGAAGCTTAATTATCTTTTTATTGGGGTTTACTTGGAATTTGAGAAGTGTGGAATCTGTGAACCTTGGCTTCCTATAGGAAAGAATATCATAACCTTTCATTCATTTTGGGAGAATAGGGTATAATATATAAAGAATTATCATTCAGTAGTGTAAACAATAGCTTCCAGTGATTGAATATCACATTTCTTAGTGTTGAGTTGTCTTTGAAGAATGAGTAACACATTACATACTTTGTAGAATGTTTGCACCCATTTCAATAATGTGAAGTGGATTCCAGTGCTGTTACTTTTCTTAGCTGATAGTATAATTCCCTATGATTAAAAAACAGTGGAAGCTGGAAGCCACCTTTTGGACACTAAAATTCTAAAGGTATTTAAAATTTGCCTCCCTTCAGAGCAAACCAGATCCCATGTCTCTCAGAATTATTGATTCACCTGGAATTCCTCTTTCTTAGAAGTAAAGTGTAAATAAATGAAGGTTCTAACACGATCTTCTTTTTAAACCTTCTTACAAAAAGGTGATTTCTTTCTCAGAGTTCTGTAGCCCTAAAAAGGATCAAAATATAGTTGCTTATTTGCAACTAATTTCTTCTGTTTTGTAAATTAATGCTTAGTCCAGTAGTGAGTGATGATAGTTGGGATTGCACTTGGGTGGGATCAAATGCACTCTTTCAAAATCTGGACTCTTCAAACCTTGTTCCAACAGAACAGATTTAAGACAGAACAGCTTAGTTTGACTAATATTTCTCAATATTTTGTCATTACAACTTAAGAGAGTTTGCACTACAAATACTTTTTTAAACCATTATCTTCTTTTGTGTCCCTTTTCTCCATTGCACAAGTTCTTAGAAGGTGATGGGTGCTTATGTCTCTTACTCAAACTTAATGCCAAGGTCTGTTTTTTACTGACTTGTAAAGAGCAAGTTATTTTTCAGTATTTTTGATAAGTTTTGAGATGGCATATATAAAGATTAGGCTTGGAGTTTCTCCCAAAATAATGTATGGATTAAAGAATATAATATTTACCTCTGAAGAAAGATGTTTCTAATTAAGATAGGATTAGTTTTCTCAGTTAGTTGGGCTTATTTTTGGAGAGGATAAAAAGGAATCAAGAGATAGAGTTTTTCATTCCAATCTTATCTCTACATGTAATAATGATAAGAGAAATGACTGATCTGGTATGTGAAAACACTGTTAATCCTGAGTTTTTCTTATGTAGAACTCCTTAGAGACTTGGAATAGTAGTACAGAGGTTTGGTGTGGGGTGGTTTTTCTTTGGTAAAGCAAAACAAGAGTTATTCAAGATCTTGAAACATATATAAGAATGTTATTTTCAATTGTAATTCTTGTATGTTTAAGTATTATAAATTTGCTGTTGGTAGACTGCAAAATCAAAATTCTCACGAACTAATAGTTTCTGCTTAGAAAATATGTACTAAATAACAAACTGAATTGAAAATTAATGACAAGGGGTCTCCAGATCAGTGAGGAATCCTCTGACTGTTCTGTTGTTAGTTTTTGATAATACTCAGGCATGGTCTGTTCATCACTTGAAATGATCTGTTTGGATCAAACGCTTTTCTACTCCTTGGGTCGTTCTTAACACTTTAGCAGAGAATGAAGCAAAAATCTCCTCGGTCCAGCAGCTGCTTAGTAAGGAGAGGACAAATAATGACTTAGTTTCGTGACTTTACCTGTTGATTTAATGACAAAACTAAGGATGTGCTTTCAGTATAAAATGTAAAACCTATTTAAATGTAAAATCTCTGATTTGACTTGTTTTTTTGTTTGTAGGAAACGCGACAGCACTCCATGTACTACCGAATATAAGATGTGTAAAGCATGAATGACCTTTTTGGGGGAGGTGGGAGGGGATTTGCAGTGGAATATCCCTGCCAGAAATGGAGAACAATTGCACTTGCATTGAGTAGACGAGTATCTTGTGCTGTGTCTTGTCCTGCCCGGTTAAATGTAGGAGGAGATGATAAATGGGGTAAAAAGTGTGTCTGCAGTTGTATAGACAGATATCTGTTTTTCCTCATGGCCTGCTGTCTTTCCTCATGGCTGTAGCATCCAAGAGTGTCTGTCTGCAGGAGTCAGTGCTACCTCTTTGCTTACAGAAGACTGTCCAGTATTCTCTGTTCTTTTATGGTTCTGCTCACCAAAACTATGTCCTCCTCCTCCTTTTTCTGTGGCTGAGGCAATATAAATGTTGTCCCTTGTATTGTTATTGTTATTATTATTATTATTTTCCATGAGAGATTGGTGTCATTGAAGGCTGTGTCTTTTTGAAGCTATCACAGGTCAGATCTCATATGCTCTACCTCTTTGTTTGCCAGAGTTGATTTCTGTGTATCTAACTAATTAAAGCGTGCCTTTAAATCAGAGTTTTATAGCTTTTCCTTTGCTTTTAAGAAGGAAAAAAGCCATATATATTTCTGACTCTTTGATATATTCCTGCAAAGGCCACAGTGGATTTATTATAGCAGAAAACTGGAGGTTTCTGTAGCAAAGACATTCCCTGCCTTTGAATTTGTTGGCCTGTTCTAGAAGTTACCTAATTAAAGGTACTGGTGAGAAATCAGTGGTACCATGTCCTGTCGTGAGCATGGTGTAAGTCCCTTAGTGGGCTCAATTTTTATTGAGCCTTGATGTCAGTTCTGGAGATACTTTGCTACTTTTCAGGATAGAAAGGGTGCTGTGTGGATCCACCTTCCTTGCTTTTTTTCCTTGAAATCATATCTTCCACATTTCAAATCTCTGTATACAGACAATGATGTTAATCAAGCTCTCTAATGATGGATTTATCATCATATACCTGTTCAGAAACAAAAACCTTTCCCTGTCAGACTCACTTTTCATGTTAAAGCAAAACCAAAGCAGTTTAGTGCTGGGAGTGCAGGACTGGATGTGCTGGCAGTGCTGGTAGATGAGGTCTCTCTTTAGCTCCTTAACACAATGTTTTAGTCCAGACTGTGACTCCAGGAGTTGGCAAACACTCCAGTGTTTGCCATGAGACTCATTGCTACTTCTAATTCCTTATCAAAACCAAAAGCCTAATTAGGAACAGGTTTTAGCTTCATGAATCTCACTGTCAACCTACAGGCAGCTTCTAAGAACCAATTCTCCCAGAAAAAAACCAAATTGCCTCACTTCACATGCCTGGGGCAGCATTGAAACTGTTCTGGCTTGTCTGTGGTGGCTTGGCACTGCTCCACTGTCATCAACTGATTGTTGGAGCAACACAGAACTGTTTGGGGCTTTATAGGGCTTTTTGGGACAATCCCAGCGGTTGCATTGTTAGAGCTCATAATAGTCTGTGGTTTTTACAAAGGGGTTTTGGCTCCACAGGATGACTTGCTGTTCACGGCCTGGTTGACATCTTAGTTTGAGAATTGTTTGTAAACACTGGATTGTGTGACTGGGGGGTTGAGTGTGGGGGTCACAAGCTCAGCTTGCTTCGTGTGGCATCTGCAATGTGCTAAAAACACCCTGAAATGCACTTAAAGCTGGGCTGGAATCACTGTAAAAATTAGCCTTATTTTGACACTTCTTTCCAGATGTAAAGACTTAGTAATGCCTTGTAATATTGCAAATAAAAATGTTTAATTGTTTAGCAGTAAGTGTTTGTCTTTCATTCATCATGTGCTGAGCAGCTCTTTTCCTGTTATTATTAAGATGATTTTTCCTGTAACAAACTCTATTAGATGGGAACTGTTGAGATTGAAATTTACAGTTTGTGCACAGAATTACTCAATGGTAGTGTAGAGAATGTGATTTAATTTGCTGAGCAGCCTTTTGGTATTTTCTTTTAGAATTGCAGAGAATTCCCCAGAACCTCCCAAACTTTACTGTGTTCACTCCTGAAAAAGTTGGTAAAAGCTTGATGGAGAAGAGGCAGATTATCCTGTGGTGGTTCTGATGGAACACTTGAGTCAGGAGCAAAGCCCAGTGAGTGTTTTGGCACTTTTGTCCAGTGTGTGACAGATGCAATCCTTAGGGAATATAGATTAGGTGGTTTTAAGTGACATTTTAAGTAGAATGTGATTATTAATTGCATGAGTTTCACACTTAAAATGTACTTAATTTTCTTGGCAAAGCAATGTGTGGAGTCAGCTGCATTACAGAATGAAGCCTTTCAGGGGGTGAAATAGAAAAAAACCCTAATATGCCCTATTTTTTTTGCAATTTTTGGTTGTGATACTCAAAATGAGTTGATGTGGACTGCAAATGATGCCAGACTACAGAACTTTACATTATGAATTTTTGGGATTTCAGTGAGCATTGGTTGGATAAGCAGCTGCTTGGCAAGTTTTCCAGTGGAAGGTGTCCCTGCCCATGGCAGGGGGTGGAATGAGATGAGCTTTAAGGCCCTTCAAACCTAAATCATTCTGTGATCCTATGAGTTTGACTTTAACACTACAAATTATTTTGCCCTAATTGTCATGAATTCTGCACTGTTTTTCCTAAAACTCAGTCCCACATGAATTATTTCATTTTTGACTCTGGAGTTGATAATCAGAGTCATGAACATGTGAACTCTGTGCCAAGGGAAGAGGCTGCATGGAATAAAAATGTGGTGTTGCCATCTACTGGTAACACAGTGGGAGTCACAAAACAGGTACAGGGTTACCTGGTTTAGTGTTAAATCATGTGAAGTGTCAGTGCTTGGTGGCTTAAAATCAGTGTAAATTAAACCCTGCCCATGGCAGGAGGTTGGAAAAAGGTGATTTTTAAGGTCCCTTCCAAGTCAAACCATTTTATGAATCTAAATACTCACTTCTCAGGGCGGTGAAAATGCAGCTGGGGACTGAAATGAAGAGACTTGCAGCACTTGGATATTGTCCAGCAGGGAAACAGGTGATCTGTCTACCTCAGACAGAGCCCAGTAACATAAAGCACACAATTTTATTTCAGAGGAAAAAAAAAAATCTGCGTAAAGAACAGGTTAAGGCAAACAAATCTCACGTGGAATAGAAGTGGTCGGAAGGTTGGGTGGCTGTGCTGTCACACCTGGGCCCTGGCTTGCTGGAGGTGGAGAAGCTTAGTTACATGTTTGAAGAGATGCTTTGCTCTCTCTGGAAGCATCCCTCCTGACTTGAACGGGGTGCTGAGTGTCCTCCTGTCGTGCAGGATGCTCGGCCTGTGGGTGTCACTTCAGAGAACAGCAAATCTCACACGTGTTTGTGAGGCCAGGTCGGGCTTTGGATGGTGTTTATTTATGGCTCGGGGGGTGGGGGAATGAAGTTTTCCATTAGTGTTGCTTTTCCCCCTACATCATAACCGATTTCAAATGGTGCTAGACAAAAACTGAGACTCTGAACACCAAGAGAAATCGGTCAGCCTGTGTAAGAGACGTTTTCCTGGCTCAGAGAAGGATCCTCTTGTAGATGGCAGCTATGGATTCTTTACAGATGACTATTCAGAGCTCTGATCAAAGGCTTCATCCGCACAGCGATTGTCTTTTCTGGGTGTAATGACATGTTGGACAACAGGGAGGTCAAGCAAAGATAGTTCAGCTTTGTTCTGGTGGTTGGGATGAAGGGGTGGAGAAGTGAAACATCACTAGAAGTTACCAGCAACGTATTTAAAAATAATTCTGGCAGAAGGAGTGGGTTCTGTGTGTGACATCACCAGGATGCCCATGGCAGGGGTTGGAACAAGGTGATCTTTAAGGTCCCTTCCAACCCAAACCAGTCTGTGATTCTGTGGTCGCTGAAGGCACTTTTGTGTTTATATTATTGAGGGGAATTTCTGTGTGTGCAGAGCAAGTCTCTGGGAGCTGTGGAATGAGAATTCTATGGAGGTAGAGTCCCCAAGCACAGAGTGGAAATGCATTTGCTCTAAGGTAGTGAATTAAATGTTATTGCTGGAGATTGTATAATAAATGTACTCTGCCTGTTGAGATGCAAGAAGTACCACGTTGGTTTTCATGCAATTTCCAGATCACTCTACTCTGGACAACTTGAACTCATATCCATTGTTTATTAAGTAGAAGTACATTAGAAGGAGGCTGTTCTGTTGTGGCCCTGGCTTGGGAGGGTGTACAGGGGTTGTAGAAGTGTCCAGAAATCAGATGATGTTACAGAGTGGATGGCTGGCAAAAAAATAACCTTTAGAGAGAGGGCTGGTTTAAGGAGCAGAGGCTGTTGGTGAAGTGAGCAGCTGCTTGATCTCTTCCCACGCTGTAATTCTTGCTCCTAGAACACTGATTTCAAATGGTGCTAGATACAAAGTGGGAAAATCTAAGCCACCATGTGAAACCAGCTTCCAGAGGAAGACACATCTTGTGCATGGCTGCAGGCTGAGGGAGAAAATCCTTCATCTCCACCGTACCTAGAGAAAAATTCATTTATTTAATTTGATTAGACAGCAAGATGGTTAACTTAGGGTTAATTTCTTTATGGACACACATTTATTTGGTATCTTGTGAATGGCTGAGGCTGGTGTAGGAGAAGTTAAAGGTGATGAAGAAACCCCCCAGCCTGGCAAGTGACTGATGTTTCCTTTCCTAGCCAGGTGGGATGCAGTGAAATTCTTACCAGCGATAGTAATACAGGTTTCATTTCTTTGTAGTGATGGGGTGTGTGGGGGAAGTTTGTGTTGTACAGAAACACTTTTTCCATGCCATTGCAGATGAAACCAGGCTATAAACCTCATTCTGTCCACTTTCTATCACTTACTGATCTTGTTATCATCAGAGAGGACAAGGGCACATCAGATGCTTTTTGTGACAAGGAAAGGAAATGGGACTGTCCTGGTGGAACTTCCTCTGTCAGCTGTCTCATGTGGCCTGTGAATTCTTTAAATAAGCAAGAGCTTGGCAGATTTTTGTGAGACAACTTTTAAATTCTGCGGGGACAGTGAAAATAAATGGGATTGGAACTGCTTTGAGTGTGGGTCAGAACAAAAAAGGAGCGTTCATAAATCTGACTGTAAATGGTTCAGTGAAAGTTGTTGAGGAAGGAGGAGAGTCTGCAAATGAGTGGCTGATGGTTCCTGGAGCTGGAATAGGTCTGAGGAGTGGTGTCCATGTCTCAGGGCAGAGGGAATAGATGGAGGGTGCTGAAGCCTGTGAACCACACACGTGCATTATTCAGGAGCTGCCAAACCCCAGCCACCACGTGTGACCTGTGCTGGTGCAGAAGCTGATGGAAAATGGAATCAAGCATGGCAGAACTGGAGTTGGGTCTTTCACTCATGGATACCCTAGGCTTTTGGCAACACCTTGGATTAATTTTATAACCACATCCAAAAAAATCTGCTCCAGTGCCTCCATCCTAATGCACACTCACAGGCAGCAGAGGAAAGGCTCAGAGAAAGGAGATGTCCTTCCAAGAAAGAGGGGTGGAGGAAGGGGAAAGAGCTGTACTAGATTACTGTGTCTGGATATTTGCTGTAGTTTCTAAATCCATTATCTGGGGCAGCAGGGTGAAAGACAAGTGGAAAGCAGGTTCCCTCCCCAGTGTCTGTCGTGCTGGCACAGTTATTTGTGAGGCACCCTCTATTATCAGGTGAGATTTACTCCTGAAAAGCTGGACCAAGAGTTGCTGCTGCTGAAAGGTTGCAGCACAGATCACAGAATCACTGCAGCAGCTTTGAGAAACGGGTTCAAAGTGAGGTTGGCTTTGGTTTTCATCCTGTCTCAGTAGTAAGCATTAAAAAGAAATCTTTACCAGGGTTTTCAAAAATAGTTGGAGGAAATGTCACTTAATTCTGTGCTGCTGGAAACAGGAGCTTCTGTCAAAGTATGAGACTTACAGGGACTGAACACCTATGCCCACCTTCCCCTCTCCAAAGGAGACTAACCTTTCCAGAAATACCATGCAGCAGTTGAAGACCAATAGCTCATTTATTATTTACAGTTTTGATAAAACCAGGTTTCAGTTCAGCATAATTAAGATGCTGCTGGCCTTCCTCCAGGCTACCTGAAGTTTCTCCTGTTGCCTTAACGAGCTCCCCAGAAGGTGTCAGCCCATTTTGCCAAGGTGCAGGTACACATTTTGGAAAGGATACATCTGTGTATGTTCTCCTTCCAAAGCTAACAGCATGTTTGGGCAGGCAGCAGGCAGAGAGGAGGAGAAAAAGAGCAGTTTGGGATGCTGTGATACACAGCACCTGACTGGGAATATGTGCATGTGCAGGGAAATGGAATCACAGGATGCTTTGGCTGGAAGGGACTTTAAAGCTCATCTCGTCCCACCCCCTGCCATGGGCAGGGACACCTTCCACTAGCCCAGGTGGCTCCAAGCCCTGTCCAACCTGGCCTTGGACACTTCCAGGGCTGGGGCAGCCACAGCTTCTCTGGGCAACCTGTGCCAGGGCCTCATCACCCTCACAGAGAAGAAAATAAACCAGGACTTGTCTCAGACATTTGCTGGGTGTGTTGTACATATGGACACACGTGTGGAGACAAGCCAATACTGTCAGTTGACTTTGTCAAAGTGGTCTGGAGTTTTCAATAAATAATAGTAGGGAAAGTACAATACTATGATTCTGGGTTTTCCCTCCTTTTCGGATGTTTTGGTAGCAGAGCTGTTCTTTCAGAGAAACATTTCAAAGCTTTTCATGGATTTCACACTGTTTTACACATCTATAGGACACAAAGGCAGAAAGGGAATCCCTGCCTTCCCCGTGAAAGGGAACTTCTTTTCTAGCCTAAGACCTTTAGTCTGCAGGAACAGGGCAAGCCTGGATGTCACTGACTTCATTTTTCACAACCTACACCTTTTAGATAAAGGCATTTGTGGGGCTTTTACAGTGAGCAAAACCAATGTCTGCATGACCCTGTGTGCACCATAGATTTTTTCCTCCCTTTTTCAAATCACGGGGTGAAACTTGTGGTTCATCAGACTCTGGTCTCCCCTGGAGAGAAATATTCCTGTTTCACATGGAGAAAGTCTGAGCTTGATGCATCATCCTCCCAGTGAAGGAATGAGTCAGCCCAAGGCCAGGTGCAGGACAGAGGGGTGTGACAGTACAAGTGGTGACCTGTAAGGGGAATTGAAATGAGTGAACTTCTAAGGTTTCAAAAAAGCTTCCTGAGCCCGGGGGAGCGTGTAACTGCATCTGTTTGTTGTGCAGGTCTGGTACTGTGTTGCTGCTGCGTGGGTCAGGTATGGACAGATGTGCCTTAACTTGCAGTCTGAGCCAGGCCTAAGTGTGTAACTCCCTGTGGGTCCCCAGCACTGAGCTGGGCTGAGGAAGGGCAGTGATGCTGGTGACTAGAAATGGCTCTGGAGATGCTGCTGCTGTTATGGGCAACAAAAACATGTACTTTTCTCGTGAGTTTAAAGCATAATGGAGATTGTTTTTCCTTGATTAGGACCACGATAAAAGCTCTGCATTACAGTCATGAGTTGAACATAGCCTATTCCTTCAGTCCTACTGTTGCAGCCTTACAACTGTAGTATAAATAGATTTAAAAGACAGACACTTTGGGTCTGCAGCCCACCCCAAAACCCCAAGGCAGGCTGAACACTGGACTGGGACATGCTGAGGGTAAAAGCCTGTGGAGCCTTGTGTCCCGTTTAACTCTGAGCAATGGGACAGTCGGGCCTGCTTGGTGTTTGAGTCACTAATTTCAATTCCTATTGAGGGGAATCTGTCAGAGCACTCACCAGCATTTGTCTGTGCTGAACTGTCAGAAAGCTGCCCACCCTCCTGATCTGTCTTTTTAAAACGGTTCATGGGTTTGGGGTGAGGATTTTTCTTTGCTTGTTGGCTTTTCCAGATAATTTCGGGCAGGTCAGGTGGTGGGGAGTGTCTGTGATGGCTGAAATTTGGCTTGGGATGAGGTCTGAGAGGTGCATCTTAGCGCTGAAGGGGCTTAACCTCTTCTTAACCCCTGGTGTGGGGTTAACTCCTGCTGCTCTGACTGAGGTGATAGAGCTCATTCCCAGCAGGGGTTTGGTGCCAACCAAGATTTTCCAATGCTGAGCAACGTCTGGCAGTTGGCACTGACAGACAGGAATTGGGGGGTTGGATGCAACAAACCTCATTTTGAGGGTGAGATAATTGAACTCAGGCACTCTGGGTGATGTGATGGACCACACCAGCCTTCATTTTATGGTTCTGCCCTGCTGATCCTCACTTTCTGTGGTGCTTGGGTCTAAAAAGGAGGCTAAAAACAGTGCAAGAGACCTTCAATTTTTAGATTACAGATCTTTTGGAGAAAGTTGGAGATGGCTTATAGCAGAGCAATATCACTAAAATAATGAGGATTTATTCACAAGACCTGTTGTGTTTTTAAATCCCAGACTTTTGGTTCAGACTCTTAGCTATACGTAATATTTATTTGCTATTGCTTCTCCCAAAGCTGCTCTGAACTGGAGGGAACAATTTTATCATGGTGATCATTCTGGGTGTGCTTAGATATTAGTGCTACAGTTCCTAATCTTGTGATTCCCCTCTGCTCATCTGAAATGGCTTTGACTTGTCTGGAGTCATAGTTTTGCTCCACCTTTCCTAGGGAAACCCCCAGCCTGTTTGGAGGGCACAGGAACTGCTGAACCTCTGGATCCTGGGTAGGATTTCAGATTTCACAAGGAACAACGAGGTAAAACCGGGCAAACTCACACAGGGCGAGAAAAGCATTGCCCTTACATGGCTGAGGTCAGGGAAGAGCAGCAGGAAAGTACAGCCATGAAAACTCATCAAATTTAGCCCTACACAGCTTGACTGAGCAGCACATTGCAAAACTAACTACACTCAAAGAAATGATCCTCCTAAGGAGCTGAAACCAGAAAAGCCATTTTCTATTCCGAACTTCTGTACCTAAGCATCACCTTAGAATATAAAGTATTGATTGCAGGGCTTGAGAGCAGTCACAGGGAGATGATTGCTGTGATTTGTATAGTCAGTTCAGGAACATGGTGTTCCCCCAAGGCCACCATTCCAGCTCCTTTAGGTAATGTCAAGGGAAGTCATATTTTTCTTTTGTGTCGTTTAAGAGACAGAAGAATGTCCTGTGCCCAGTGAGGAGCATAAGGAAACAAATACTGCCAGATGTTCACTGAAGTATAACCTGCCTTTAAACCAGATATTTGAAAACAAGCCTTTAGTTTAGCACTGTTTGCAGCAGAAGGACCTGGCAAAACATCCAGAGAAAAGCATTGACCAAACCCCTGACTGACTCCCCCGAGCTGCTGGTTTGTACCTGTTCCCAGGATTTCCAGCACTCTTATCACTGAAATTTCACTGTATGTTTGAGAATATTTAAGAAACATTTGAGCTCTACAGCCAAATCCAAACCCTGTGGCTGCTGCTGGACTTCTGTGCACCACCGTGAGTGTTTGTGTGGGGAGCTGAAGAGATGTGCTCAACTCAGAAATAGCTCTATTCCTTGGAAAGCTGGAGGGCTGAATCACACTGTGTTGGCTCAGTTTTTAGCAGACAAGCCATCACATATGCCTCCCTGTAGGCACAGAGTCGTCACTGGCATCAGGATTAGCAGCCAGGTTTTTACCTTTGGAAACCAGGGAATAATGATGCAGAAGGCTAAGGGTGATTATAAGGAGGTTGCCCAGGGCTGGGGGCTTGGAGAGGTGGCTTGGCAACACTGGGAGCAGGAAGGGTCTGCTCATGTCCCTGCTTGGCCTGCTCTGCTCCCTCTGTTCAAAAGGAGCCAGCTAATGTGCCCCCAAATTGAACTTTGGGGACTAAATAAGTTATTTTGCTCAGAGGCATTAACCACTCCACTGCTGCCTGTGAAGCTGAGACAAGTAGAGCCAGCCCTAAGCATATCCACGGCTGATGTTGTCCTGAGTCCACTGAAAATACGAGTGACAAACAGTGGAGAAATAGGAACACTGGAGAAAAATGTGGAAACCTGGGAGGGGACAAGACAGCTCCTGAGCTAAGGCACCTGAACCTGAAAGCACCAGAGAGACACCACTGGCTTGGCAGACACTGGGGAACTTAGAGAGCCTGCAGAGTCCACCTGCTAACGAGCACAGAAATGCAAATATACACAGACGCTTTTTTTCTTTTTTTTCTGGAACAGAGTGTATCTCCTTAAACACACGCCACTGCTGATTCCCAGCAGTCCAGAGGAAGTCTTGGGGGAAAAGGGGATGAGGGAACTAGTGCAAAGTTTTTGAAGTTTTGGAGGAAAAGCGGATGAGGAAACTAATGCAAAGTTTTTGCAGTTAGCACAAGAAGCAAATTACAGATATGGATTTTAAAATGCTTCAGAGACACGGGATTTTTTGGAGCTACAGTTTTGGACTCAGTAGTCCACTACTGCAGTAATGCTAATTATCAAGCCTCCCCTTCCAGTTCAGGATTCAAGCACTGCCACAGATGCAAGAAAAGTGGATTGGGAGTTCCTGAACTAACTGGTTGCTGACCATGAGTCAGGGGAATGACCTTGCAGCAGGCAGCTCGCCGTGCCGCTCTCGGAGCCGTGCCAGTATAAACGGCGTTGGCATCTCTGAGTGCTGGTGGAACCATTTTGTGAGATTGAGATTCCAACTTGGCCTTTTCTGCTGCTGCCTTTGCACTGAAACGTTTGGGTGGGTGAGAACGGGCCAGAGTGGTCCCTTCTCATTTTGTGACGAGGGCATCTTCCCAACCTGGGCTTGGGACTGTCTGTATCTATATGCAGATATATAGAGGATATGGACAACTATCTCTTGCCTACGTACTTGTCCATTAACATCAGCATTACAGATATTTACCAAATTAAATCTTACCCTTCCCCCCCAGCCACACCCATATTAAACTGTAAGAAAACACCGTGATTAAGTTTTAAAAAACATACACGGCACCGCTGAATTTTCTGGATGTGATTTGTAAGAGGAGCGAGGGTAGAATACTTGGCATTTGGTCATTTTAATTAATCTTCCCAAATAAGAATAACATTTGCTTGTAGACTTTAAGCTTCTCACAGCATCAGGAAAGCTCCTGACACTGAGCCCAACACTGTATTTGTATAACATGGAAATGAACAGCAGCAGCAGCAGCAGAGCTGCAGGCTCCGAGTCTACTCTGCGAGCAGCAAAATGGCCAGGGGTGCTGTTGTGTTCATCCGAATTCCTTCGCCATTTGGGGCTGTGAAATAGGTGCATCCAATACCCCTGACCCTTCAGGTATGGTTTGAACCTGTACCAGCAATACTAAATTAATGTTTCTAACCATATTCAAGCTTGTGCCCTCATCAGCCCGACTCCCTAAAGCACAGGCAGGAACCAACAGCAAAATTCGTCTGCGTCACAGATGTAACATGACCATCGGCAAAACAAGTGCAGGGGGGAGATCGTGGCTGTCTCGTCACTCACAGAGCCTTCCTCCACTAGCAAAGAATAGGATGGTGATGCTTTTAAGTTTATATCGTGAGCATTTGCAATCCTGAACTTCCTCGCCCGAATTTTGCGGCCCTTGGAAGGGTCAGAACGCCCAAGAAAATCGCGTGTGTTTTGTCAGCGAGGGCCGGCGCGTTAACGAACTGCGTCAGTGCTGCACCAGGGCCGAGACACGGAGCAAACCCCACTGCCCAGAGCAAGGAAACCCAGACTCGGAAAAATGAATCAGCTCACACAATGGCACACGCACAAGTGTCAGGGGGAGGAAGGAATCACAGCTTTCCCAAGTCCTTTTGAGTCAACATGCAGAAAATGATTATGGAACAGTTAAGCCACGTACAGCTTGCAGTGACAGTGCCACCCCTGTGCACACAATCACTGCTGTCCTACAGAAATATGCCATGTCCCCTTCTTAGCCTTGTTTCTTGCCAGTCCCACAGATTTACCTGCTGACAGTAACCTCAATTCCTGAGTAATGAGATTTACAGCTGAAGTTTAACATTGAAATAACTCCTCGTTTATCTGTGTCTCCTTACCCTCCCTGTGTTCAATCTCAGTTAAACTAACTGTGGCAAAAAGATGGTGGCAAAGGGAATTAAATCAGATACATCCCTGCACTGAACACTGAACCAGCTGCCAGTGGCACCTCCTTTAAAACACTGAGAAATGTCATGAAGCAGCACTAGCTTTACAAATTACGGGGTCCTCCACCCCACAACTGTGACAGGAAAACCACAAAGAGTCGTCCATGCAGCCAACACTCAGGAAAAGAGACTCAACCCACCCGTCTTCCACGCAACCGAGCAATCATGGCTTAGTCCAGCTCCTGGCTGTACAGAATTCCCTCCACGGCTGCCTCGGACTGTTCCTGTGTGTATGTGTATTTATGCCTGTCTGTCTCGCTGCAGGGACCACCGTCGTCGCTGCTATTCCTGTTGTTCCCCTGCTCTGCGGATCTGGCGCTGCAGGAGGCAAGGATGCTCCAAGGGAGCCAGCTACAGCCAGCGAAGGCTCAGTGAGTCAGGAGGGGTTGTGACGACTGCAGCAAGAGTCTGAAATTCCCTATGGAATCTGGCAGAAGAGGAGGGGAAGGAAGAAAGGTGGAGATGGGAAAGAGGGGAAGAAAAGTGGGGAGTGGCACGTACTGCCTGTTCTGTTCTTCCCTCCCCGTCCCTACCGCTGCAGTGGCGTTGGAAATGGCGTCCTCCCCTCCGCGGAACTGCGCAAATGGACAGAGCCGGCGAGAAAACCGCAGCGCCTGCGGCCTGTGCCACCAAACCCCCAAAACTCGGTCGGGGCGGGGGTATGGTGCAAGTAGAGCCCTTCTCTCTTTCCCTCAGAGCACCGTGCAGGGGACAGACTACAGCTGAAGTGATGGAGACGACGGACGCGCTGTGTCTGAGCCGGTTCCGAGCCCAGCGGTTGTTGCTAAACAACCAGCCCTGACGCTTGAGATGTCAACGAGTGAGTAATATAGATTAAACGCTTATGCTATCACATCCTTAAACTTGTTTAAGCCTCGGGATGATGAAAAGCTATGGAATAATGTTCCCTGCCATATGAGAAAGCAAAGTTACCACTCCACTGCATAATCGGGAGACTTCCTCGGCCAGAAGGACCAAGCTCAAGGCTGGTTGTGTCCTCAGCACTTCCAGGCAGAGCTGCCATCTTCATTGCTGGTCGCTTTAAGAAGAGAGGTGAAAAAATAGTGTTGTAAATGGTTAAGAGAGAAAAATGTTCTCCCCTTCATTTCCTCGTCCTCTCTCTGGAGCTGCTCTCTGCCCTCAGTCTCCCGTTCATCCTTACCCAGTTCTTCCCAGTTCTTCGGTCCTTGATTTCTAACGCTGTCATTTCCTTTGCAAACCTTTACAGACCCATCACTGAGGGCAGTCCTCGGCTCTCCCTGATGTTACCGAGCCTGTGGCAAACTCACCCTTGTGCAAACGAAAGCCGAGTTTGGGCAAGAGTCGTTTTCACTTCTTTAACTGTTCCCACGACATAATTTCCAGGTGCAATTCCTGCCCCAAGCCATTACAGTCCTGCTAACACTCAACCACCGTATAAGGGAGAAGAAGGCAAGGAGAAAAGCCCTGGAGCCCAGCGCTTTCCCCTCCGCCGTGGGTTGCAGCTCTGACACGTCATCGTCGCGACCGGACGGCGGAACGACACCTCAGGGAGCACCCCTGGATGTGAGGGCTGGCACCCACCACCCCGAGGAGTTACCGGCTCCTGTCTGCCCGTGCCCGAGGGACACCTGGAATCCCGGGATATGAGGTGGGCAGGGAGCGGGCAGTGAACAGCGGGCAGGGAGTGGTGGGCAGGGAGAAGGGAGTGAGCGGCAGGCAGGGAGCAGGTAGGGAGCAGAGAGCAGGCAGTGGTGGGCAGTGGGGAGGGAGTACGTAGTGGGCAGAGAGCAGCAGGCAGGAAGCAGGCAACGGTGGGCAGAGGGCAGCGAGTAGGGGGTAAGCAGGGAGCAGCAGGCAGGGAGCAGGCAGTGGTGAGCAGGGAGCAGGCAGAGTGGACAGCGAGCAGGGAACGGGCAGTGGGCAGGGAGCAGGCAGGGAGCAGGCAGAGTGGGCAGTGGTGGGCAGGGAGCAGGCAGAGTGGGCAGCGGGCAGGGGACAGGCAGTGGGCAGGGAGCAGGCAGGGCACGGGCAGCTGCCGGTACTTTGAAGCAAGTGAAATCAACGTCGGGGTTTGACACCCAGCCCTCGGCCAATCCGGGAGGGCTTTTCACCTGCCATCACCTCCTCCGCCAATGGCGCGGCGGCTCCAGGCCCAGAGCCCTCCCCGGCCAATGGGGAGCCGGCTCCGGCACTTAGTTAATGATGCAGCAGTACAGGGAAGACTATCACATGTGAGCTGGCCGCCTGCCAGCATGGAGACACCGAGAGAGCAAGGTAAACAACTTTCCAACGCCAAAATGATGACATTTAATCCCTAAATGCTCGCTTCCCGTCTCGACTCATCTTTAACCCCTTTCAGCTGGTGTGGAAGCGTCTGGAAGGCACCGTCTACCTGTCCCCCCAGTGCTTTTAAAAACTGGACGACATGCCCTGCAATGATCACTGCGTCACCGTTTGCCACTTTCCGAACTACGCAGTGACAAACCTCCGAGCTCGGAATCGCAGGGCGCCTGTTAACCCCTCCACCAAACCCTCGCCAGCATGCCAGCCCTCAGGGAGACGGGGGAGAATAAAAAGCCCAAACAAACCAGGCAAACAGCAGTCTTTGCAAAGTTGTCATCTCTCCCCCACGACTACTACCCTCCTCTGCAGTACAGCAATGCCGGCAGGAGTGACATTAGTGCAACCTGTGCCATCGTTCCATTGAGAAAACAGCTCTGACGCAGAACAGAGCAACCATACCCAGCCAAAATAATAACACAGGCACTTCGGGACCCGAACTTAGGGACGCCGGGGGAGAGGGACGCCCTGCAAACAAATAAAATCCGTGGCTGCAGCTCCAGCCCCATCCTGATCAGAGGGTACGTACGTGAGAGAGGCGAACCGGACCGAAGAGCTGTGCCCGTGCACCATCTGCGCAGTCCTCAGCCCTCCGCTCGCTGTGGAGCGCCGCAGAATAGAAGGTTCCAGAAATTTCCTTTCCGTTAACCCTTTCGGTGTCTGCCCACTCTCCCTCCCCGCGGGATTAAGCGCGCCAGGTCTCCAGCATCGTCAATGGGCGAAGCCTCCTACGCCAACCGAGCCCGAGTACGATGTCTGAATGGCAGTGGATGGTGGCAGGAGCCCAGCCCGAGGTGTTGGTGATACTTCTCTTTCTGGAGCCCTCTCTGCCTCTCTTGCTGCCTCTCTCCCCTCTTGCTGCAGCAGGGCTGTTGCTGGTAGACCTATCGACGGAGCTTGCTCTCTCACTCTCTCGCTGAGCTCTGTGACGCAGCTCTAAATTCTCCAGCCTGCTCCCTGTGTTATAAGAGCGGAACTGCAGCTTTCCAGGGAGCCCGTGCCAGCGGTGCCAGGGCCAGGCAGACCGGAGGGAGCGTCGCTCCTGGACTCTGCACCTTTTTTTGGCAATTATTCTGTTGCTCACCTCTGTTTCTGTGCTGCCTCCACGGCTCTCAGCCTCGCATCTCCTTCTCTGCTTCTGAGTCATACTTACCAGGTTAACTCTTTTAGGATTGGTAGTCAGCAATACAAATCTCGAGCGAGAGCAGCTGAAACCACAGCCAACTTTGTGGTGGTTTCTGCTTTAAAAAACCAAAGCAAATCTTCTTGGCTCTAAAAAACAAAAACACACACACACACACGCACGCACACACACGTTCCAGTAGAGAGTTAGTGCTTTTTGATTAACTGTTTCGGTGACAGGAACCATTACTTGACTTCCTAAAATAAAATATTTTAGGCCTACGTCCTGCAAATCCTCAGCAGGCAGATACCCCAAAGCACAAGGCAGCTTAAAAGGAGCTGCTGCTGTGAGTAAACACAGGTCTTCTGGGCAGGAGGCTACTGCTGGCTCCACAAGACCCTGCTCTGCTGGCCACAAGACATTGATCTGAATGTGGTTCAGCTGCTGGGCAGATGCGTGGTGTGAGATAAGGTACTGAAAGTGCCATAGCGCTATAGGATCTTCTTAATCTGAGCGGTATTAATAAGTGTTATCACACACACAGATTCAAAACGCTCAGCGTAGGCAGGGGAACTAATAACTGCGTTCCTGGAGTCACCAGAATCCAATAATCCCCGACAAAGACAGTCCACAGGCAGCTCTGTATTTCAGCACAGCAGGCGTCACCAGGCAAGAAACATCTTGCAGCTGAGCACTCTCTCCTTGCCTCTGCCCCCCAAATCCCTCACATTAACTCCGGTGCCTCCGGTCGGGCTCAGCACCAGGCAGGGGGGGCAGAGCTCTCCCGGTTTGTAGCCTCAGAACTGGAAAAGTGTGGAGGAGGATCCATGGTAGGTGCAGCTCCTGGGAATCAAAGGAGCTAATGGAGAGGCAGCACCGTGTGAGGGAGTTCATGTGTCGGGCTGTGTACACAAAAGAGCCAGGCAGCGAGTCCATTGGAAAACACAGAATCCAGGGAGAGATCCCTGCTCCACACCTACATCTGCCATTTTAATTCCGGCTTCAGAGCCGGCTGCGAGCGTTGGGTTTTTCACTACAACCAAAGCTGAAATAACCACTATTTTTTCCCTTCGCAGCGTCTGAAGAGCCTGAGCTATTTTGGGATTTGTCTGTACTACACTGAAAATGACACCTGTTACGCACAGACACAAATGAGAAGAATTACAAGCTCCTGGTTTCTCAGATATGATTCTGCAGAAAATGGAACGGGATCCTGCGAGCCAGGGACCTGGGAGAGCAGCACAGGCTCCGCTGTGGGGTGAAGGGGATGACCCTGGTGAACCGAACAGCCAGACACCAGTACAAAAAATATAAAAAGTCTGTTGGAGCTGATGCAAGGGGAAATCAAGCCTCCATGTGACCAGAAGAAGTAGTGCATGATCAACTAAATGCCACAATACATGGTTTCTTATGCAATCAAGCCCATGGGAGTTCAAGCCTTGCACATACACTTTGTGGCCAAAGCTGCGAGGATTAACTCCTTCGGTTAACGACGGCGAGAGCACCCGGCTCCTGAAATGAGTCATCCTCGCTGAAGTAGGCCAGTGTTTGCTGCCATGGGAAGCTGCCTGTGCTGGTTTCAGTTACCCCTGAGTTATCTCAGAAGCTCCAACGTGCAGGGTCAGGGCGGATTTTCCACATTCCCCGTTTTCCTCTCTGCTTTGCACCGCTCCAGCTCTGCAGGCAGACAGGGACCACCTCGCTGGACCCCCGAGCCCCACGGAGCTCTGAATGAGCAAGATAAAGCACTTGGAGCCTCAGGAATGGGACAGTTGACTGGTGCTTTTAGCTCACAGCAGTTTTGTCAGTCGTGTGGTATATTTAAGAAGGTAAAATGAAGCTTTGGTTTATTTCAAATTCTCTCTTTTTGGTTGCTTTCAGGGGAAGGGTGGCATGCGTGTTATGGTTTGCTTTCATTTAAAAATCACCAACCCTGGAATGTTTCTACCTTTGCCTGACTGTTAAGTACTTTCTGGTGGCACTCAGGCTCCCAAGAAGACTCAAAGCCACACTGCCCCGTGCACAACTAAATGTGTAACTAAGAAGAGTTGGCACAATGGAAAACTTCAGCACTTGGAACTGAGTAATGAGGCCCAAAAAAATTAAAGTCATGTTCTGACACTGTTGGTGAGAATTTGGCATTTTCTGTAAAGAAATGGGGGCCATGATTCCATAGTAGAAATTTAGTCTGCTTTTCTGAGTGGAGCCCATGTACATATTTTATACTGGTTTTGGGGTTCTTTTTGCCTCCCCCTTTTTTTTTTCCCTCCAAAGTCTAAAAGCAGGAAACAGAGCTTTGGTTTTGTAAGAACTGCCTATGAGGGTACAAAGTCCTGGGCTAGAAAGCAAACTTGGTAAATGGGAATATTCCACAGCCATGGTTGGAAGCAGAGGAGATCAGTATCTCCATGTGAATGGCAGTGTAAGAATCCATTCCAAAACGAGGGCTCACAGCTGATCACAGCTGGGCCATGGGTTAAAAAAATTAAAAACTTTTTATAGTGTAGACACTGGAACAAGATTTCACAACTTATAAGTGGAGCAGTTCAGGCTGGATGTTGGGGTGGGGAGATCTTATCTTGAGGAGAGTGGGAAGGATGGAACCTCCCAGACATCAAAAATCTGCTGTCATTGACAGTTTTCCTCAGCACCACGAAAGGATCAGGGAGCAATTCCTCAGTGAGCACAGGAAATGTGGGCTTGCACTGCCTCTGGGCCAAACTGTACCTAAAGGTTCACCCTCAGTTCTCCGGCGTGTCCCGTGCGATTCTCCGCCGTCACGCTGCAATGACCTTAATAGCAATAACATATGGAGGCTGACATTCCAGACATCTCCCCCTCGTGCACATCACTGCTGCTCTTGTGGGTGATAAAATAACCTCAGCCATCCACTGAGGAAGGCCCTTGGTCTTTTTTAACGATGAAGGAAACCCTCATGGTCCTGCCCGCACTTCCAGCTTCCTGCTGGCGAAGCCTTGGCTCGGCTTTCGGTTTAAATGCCATCGGCCACACCTTCCTCCACTGCAGGAAACACATTGTTAAAATCAGGGCATGTTCCTGTTTAACTAAAAGGCTGAGATAAATAATCCAAAGGCCCCGATTATGCCAAACAAATTCCTGCCCGAGACGTAGCAAGTCCGGGCAGCTGTAAATCTGTAACCCCCCGACCTCGGCATCCACGGAAGGGATGTCTTGGCACATCCCGGGGGGAGTGGCTGGGGATAAAGGGAAGGAGCAAAGAATCGGGCAAAGGTGGGCAGGGGAATGGAAAAGTTCCTTCCCTTTACCAACCCCGAGTCCTAAAAGTTGCTTTAAAATGCAAAGTAGTCCGTTTCTCAAGTGTTGATGTGGGGGAGCTCTTTTTCAAGACCTTTGATTTGTCAGCCTTACAAACAACTCACCACCTCAGTGAAACGACCACCGTTTCCAACAAAAATCTTTCTCGGCACAGAATTCCCAGCCAGCTCCATTCAGGGAATACCATCAGAAACAGGAACATGTAGCCCAGCTGCCAGGACTGTTTCCCCTAAACCTCACCAATTGGAGGGTGGTTAATTTTTAAATTTTTCTTTTGACTGTTGTCATAAAAAATCATCCTTTAAAAAAACCCTTAACTCTTTACTGTAGCAAAACAATTGTCTGCATTGACCTCGAATAAAGGAATTTTAGTTGTTGCTTAGGGAAACTGGCAAGTTTTTCATGTTTTCTCATTAAAATTAATGAAATTTTGCATATGGGAAAGCTGAGTAAAATAAAGGTTAAATAATTTGACCCACGTTGTATGTGGAATCAGGGTCAAAGCTGATAGGGAGGTTTAGGCGTTCCTTGCTCCCAGATTTTATTCAAGTTGTGCCTCTTAATTATAGTCCTTATTGTCCAGAAGGCCCTGAGTCAATTAGTGAGACATAACCATCATGTGAGACAGAAGCTGCTGGAACAGCCTGGCTTTGGGAGGAGATGGATAAGGAATTATTTCGAGGAGACACTTTCTTTCAGTTTTCAAAGCAAAGCAGAAATAAAACTTTGAAGCCTTCCTTCAGTTTTCACGTGTGCATAGAGAACAACAGACAATTCATGGTCTTTTAGTACCACCCTGACAGCCACTGGGACGTGCAGATTTTCAGGAAACTGGAGACTCAGAATTCCAAAATAGGAATATTTGCTAACACAGCAACCAGAGTCCATGAAGGGATATTTTACAGTGTTTTTCCCCACTGTGATTACAGGAGAAAAGTTACAGAGTCACAACAAACATTTAGTTTTTTTCCAAAAGGTTTATTGTTTTCCAGACAAATTCAATTAGTGAATTCCAGAAGTGTGGCCAGTGAGTCCTTTCTCTGCCAGCCCAGTGCATACACATAAAATCACTGAATCCCAGAATGGTTTGAGGTGGAAGGGACCTTAAAGATCATCTCATTCCACCCCCTGCCATGGGCAGGGACACCTTCCACTAGCCCAGGTTGCTCCAAGCCCCGTCCAACCCGGCCTTGGACACTCCCAGGGATGGGGCAGCCACAGCTTCTCTGGGCAACCTGTTCCGCTTGGAACACGCTGTTGCTCTCAGTGAGGTCCCAACCAGCAGGAGGAAGAGCTGCAGGCAGATAAATAGCAATAAACCCCTTCTCAAACAGTTTTAAAGCTGATTCTGTGCATCTGCTTGGGTGTGCACGGCTGACATGGCACAGGGAGCGGGGTGGGGGGTTCAGAGTCCTGTCTGGGAGGTGGTTCAAGGGAATTGGATGGAACAGCTGGTGCTGAGATCAAAAGCCTGCGAAGCCAGAGGTGTGGGTTTGTTTCCCAAGAGCTGTCGTGGATGTGTTGGCATTGGGGAGTCATATTTGCATAAAGCGTTTTCATTCTCACTGCAAAGCCAGCCCACGCAATAAAGCAGGCTCTGAAATGGGAGCCTGCAGGTGAAAACCTGGCCCTCCCTTTGAAAACCTGGAATCCTGGAATTTACCCTGTGAAGTCTAAGAAACTTCCAGCTGGAAAAGCCGGGATCCTAATCAAAGAGATGGCACTACATTAACACAGGAGCTTGCTTCAAAGCAGAGCTGTGTCGGAGCCAGGTTCAACTTATTTGGGATCTTCAGCCCGCTGCTCTGCTCTGGTCGCTGTCTTCAGCATTCCTGGTTGGAACAGGAACGCTTCCCGGACCCCCGGACGCTCTTCCCGGCGCTGGGAGAGGCCCCGGGAGCAGCTCAGGCTCCCCCGAGCCGCAGGTTTTACTCAGTTCCAAACCTAAGGAGCCAAGAGCGCTGAGACAAAAGGAATTATTTCAGCTATTAGCTGCTAAGAATAGAGCCGGCGGGGGTGCTGAGGTGCCTGACAGCGCAGCCGGAGGAGCAGGGATTGCAGTGGGAGCACGGAAATAGCCCTTCTCCACGCTCAGCACTCCGGAGCTTCATGAGTCACTCGAACGCCCGGGCGGGGGGACAGGTGGGGTGCGGAGGAACCAACACCCTGCCCGTGTCTGGAGCAGGACGTGCCCCCGGGCTGTGGTTTTGGGGGGAAGCTCTTTTTCCCTAAGGGGAGCATCTTCCCAACCCTCAGGCCACGGAGCACCCATGGGAGAGCACGGCTGGTGCCAGGAAAACTCCCACCACTGCCCTGTTCTCTTCTTCAAGGTCCCACTCCCCTTCCCGGGGGACCCCAGGGCCACTCCTGCCACTCTCGCACGGGGCAGGAATATTTGCAAAAGCCAAACATTCCCGGGGGGGGCGGCGGGGCCGGAGGAGTCTATTGATGTCGATCCAACTGTGTTCCAGGGTGTTTCCCTAAGTGCTAATCGTGAAGTTCCCTTCGCAAATACATCGTAAAAGGTTAAAAGACCCGCGCAGCAGATATTTAAATGCGGGGTCAGTGACTGAGGAGGTGCTCAGAGATGTCTTTAACATCTTGTCCTGATGCCATTTAGCACAAATCCTATTGGTATCACTGTATTTTTATCCAATATAGCTTGGAAGAGGCAATTTTCCTTCTGTGCTGTTTGTGCAGCCCAGGGTACAACACATTCCTGATCTATGACGAGGTTTCCAAACTCCATAGTAAAATGAATAATAATGATAGTAAACGTTGTATAACTTTTTTTTTTTTTAATACAGCAATCTTTGTATTACTTCAGTGCTGGATTTTCCAGTTATTACACGTGGGCAAAAAAAGGACTTTTTTTTAAACCACCGTACCCACACAAAGCAAAACAGGAAAAAAAACCCCAAATCTAAGGATTAAAAGAAAATTTTTGTGTCAGTCCTGGGTGCCACTGCAGAAAAGAGTCGAGCTGGACAGAATTAAACATCTCAGCTGGAGCGTGGACAGGGCAGCAGACAGCCTGCTAAAAATAGATTAATCCTAATTACGGCCACACTTCTGCTTTTTCCAGGTTTCCCGTTTCACGTGGGGGGCACGGGTGGCTGTGAATGGAGAGGGGGGATCGGTGCCCACTGTGGCAGCGGCGGGGTCGGGGGGCACACGCTGCCCGTTATTGCATAACCCGGGAACACGGAGTCCTGGGAGGGAGCGACGGGAATGACGGCAGTGCCCCGGCCCTCGGCTCCAGCTGATCAGCACAGGCTTAACTCAGCGCCCGGCCTGCAAATCTGCTCCCCCCCAGTTAACTAAACCTCTGGAAAACTGGGTTTTCGGGTGCCGTGTGCTTTGCTGTTTTAGAGTTTTAAACCTCGCCACCCTCCTGGCTCCCTGAGCCGCCGGGGAGCGTGTCCCGTGCCAGGGCTGCTGGCGTGGTTAAACCCCCCGGAGCGGGGCTGTGCCATAAATCCCTGCTGCTTTTATTTCCTCCTGGACAACATTCCCACTCGCTGCTCCTCGCAGGCAGAGTTGCAAAATGTTTAGTATGAAATAAACACGTTTAAGCCTCTGTTTTGCAAACCCCGGCGGTTTATTTCTCCCATAGAGTCCACGAAACTACGGCAAACAACTATTTTCCCACCCTAAAGGAAGTATGTTAATTACCAATTTAAATATTTAGCCAGAAAATGTATCGCTTCAGCTATAACAACTTAGTTTTGTTTAATCAGAAGCCAGGAGTGAATGCTATGGGTTTTCTTTTCGTTCCTGTGGCAGGAACCAAACACTCCTTCCATATCTTGGGTTTACCTGAGGAACAACTCCCTCAAGCGCAGGGGGAGAAGCATGAATTTCATTTGAAGTGTCCAACTGAGCCTGTTGGGATGTTTTATTTAAAGATAAAAATCCTGATGAATGACAGGACACAGCCATGACAGAGGCAGGATCTCTTTGGCGACAGTGTCGTCCCCAGGGCTGGCACCTGTCAGGTTGCTCTGAGTGGGGATGAGGCTTTGGATGTGCTGGGGGCAACAGTATTTTTGCTTGCAGCTCATCAGAAAGAATTTTAATTTACATTTTTAAGGTTTGTTTGCCTTTACGCTGAAACACGGATCCAGGATTTGGCTTTTTTATTTTTGATTAAATGAGAAAGAGGCACTGCAGAGCTGTTGGTACCTGTGGGCTGCCGGGCGCTCACCTGAGCTGACAGAAGTCCACCTGCACATCCCTGTTTGATCTCTCCAGAACACAGTCCCACAAAGCCATTCCCCTGTATCCCAGCTGATGCTGTAGCATAGGCTGTCCCACAGTCCTGGCTGTCACTCCTGCTGTCACCTCCCAGCTCCCTGGAGTGCCACCCTGGGTACACGAAAACCTCCCTTATAAAAATTTCACCAACCTCAATGTAACAAAGCAATATTTTCCAACTGGGAAATGAATAAACAGGGTAAAAAAATTTGTTTAGACATTCCTAAGCAGCTTGTTTAGAGCACTGCTGTGCCCTGTCCAAGGCCATCCCTCCTCCTGTGCCCACTCTTGTACCTACATGAGGTGATGCCGCATGTGTGTGCAGAGCCTTGGACCCGACTTGGAAACCCTGCGGATACAAGGGCACATCCCACAGAATGTGTGTGTCTGCCAGCCCCTGCCTGGAGTGAGCGCTTTTATAAGCACAGCAGAGATTGGGAAATGTGCTGTGATTCATCTGAATCCCTGCAGTCCCCACTCCCACCCCAGCTCAGCACCCACGAGCGCCCGGGAGCTGCCAGACGCAGCACCACGCCTGCCTCCGGCTCCTCACCCGGCACCCGCTGCCAAAGGAACGCCCAGAACTCTTTCAAGCTCCATGCCACAAATTATTTGTTCTTATCTGGAGGAGAAAAAAAAAAAAGAAAAAAAGAAAAAAAAAATTCCTGAAGTGCTTTTTATTACCGAAAATTATCATATTGGGGATTATCATATTCATCAGCTGGGCTGAATCCGCCGGCGCTGACCGGGGCGTTTTGCTGTTCCTGCTGGGATTGGTGCTGGCAGCTCTGGCTGAGGTTTCTCTCTCTCTCCCTCTTGTCTCAGCCTGGAAACTGGGATTGTAAATTATTTTGGCCGGGGATAAACTGGCCTAAATAATTTGCTTGTACAGCGCTGAGCCACAGTGGCCTCTGGGTCTCAGCTGAGCCTTCTAGAGCCTTCTAAAAATAAGTAATTCTAAGCTGTTATCTTTTAAAAATACTTGTAAAAAAAAAGGGAGCAGGAAGAGGATCCTTTCCCAGCTGTTTTGTCCTCAAACTGCCAAGATTTATTATTTTTAAACCGTATTTTCTTGATCAATTCTCCCCGTAGCTTTTCGTAAAACAAGGGTCCACAAATTTAAAAATTGGGACATAGCAATAATCATTTGAAAATCACAGGTAAGTTCTAAGATCCAAGCTACCAGTAACAAAATAAAAATTAATCTCAAAACAATGTTTTTATGCACGAGTTGATTACTCTTCCCAGCCCGGAATTATTTTGCAAACAAATCTCAATTAGAGAGTGAACTTTTCTATTTTTTTTCCAAAGAAAAAATAGATATGTCATTTTTCAAGATATTTTGGATTTTTTCTTACTTGGCCAATTCTCATTAGTCACATTAGTCCCACTGTAGACATTTTTTCCCTTTTCAGAATGGGAGACCTTTGTTTTGAGTGATTCCTTTGTATAATTGGTAAAGTAGAAAACAAAACATTAAACATTACAAAACAAAACAGATGAAAATACTTTCAGCTTTGCTCATGTTCCTGCCAACTATTTTCCTCTTAAAAAAACCCCCCACATAAACCAGCTCCTTCTCAGCCTGTTTTACTCCTTTAAAGGGGAAAGGAGACCTGAGGATTCACGTTCATCCTGTGGGAAGGACAAACAGGATCCCTAAGGAATGGCAAGGACTGGGTTTAAGCCTCTAAGCCAGACTCTGTTATTATTCCTCCCCCCAAAAAAACCAAGAAAATAAAAATATATTATCACAGAATGGTTTTGGCTGGAAAGAACCTTAAAGTTGATTTCATTCCACTCCCCTGCCATGGGCAGGGACACCTTCCACTGGCCCAGGTTACTCCAAGCCCCATCCAACCTGGCCTTGGACACTTCCAGGGATGGGGGTATATTGTGATTAAGGAAAAGAA